TTATGAGGATACTTAACCTGTGAGGCGACCCGCTAGTGGTGCAAGGCTGCCGGGGCCTTCTATGTGTCGTTTTGTGCAATTCGGGTGTTTTCAGTTAGTGTGAGCGGGTGTGTCTCTGACCCGCAGCTCAGCGCCGCAGCGAACGCCCACGCGCCCGCCGCCAGCACACCCGCTCTTCAGAGACCTTACAACGTTTGAGGCTTAAAGACACTAAGGTAAGAGTTACTTGATATTTTTATATAAATGTTGTTGCTTTACGTAAGCTCTGAACTTTTCTGTGATGTAATTTAATCTCTGGCGAGGGAACAACTCTGTCGGTTCTCCGGAGTTTGAAAACGACATGGAGAAGGAGGGGGAGGTGGGTGGTGGTGGTGGGCGTGTCTCCCTCACAGCACCTACGGACGAAATGGGAATGAGACACCATTTGTCATGGTTATTACTGTGGATCTCGCTTTCTGCTTGCTAGTCTCACTCGCTTCTCGGGAATTTCCTCAATTGAGCCGAATGTGGCCGGACGGAGGGACAGCACGAGGACGCGGCCGAGCGGGTGTACTGTCGGCGGGTGTCGGGTGCTGAAGGTCAGCGTTTTTAGGGCGGGGCACAGCGGGTCGATGGAACGAACGGATTCTTGCTATCATTGATCTGTTTGTTCCTCTCGGGCTTTGCTCTTTGGGAAACACTGAAGGAGATTCCTCTCTTGTTTTCCCACTGGGCGCGCGGGGAAGGCTGGGATTGATGGCAAAGGAGGCCGAGGTTAGGAACACGAGCAGCGAAAGAGCAGAGGAAATGGCTGAACCATCGTCACGGAGCCAGCCAGTACCACAGCATACGTGCTTGTATGTATGCTTGTGTGTGTCATGCGGCCCTGCTTGACTGCTTTTAGTGCTCGCGGGACTGGAGGAAATAGGAATGGATGGGGGAGAAAAGGGTTTTAATCGTTTAGATGCGGCTGAGAGACGCGGTAAGATGAGGGAGGAAAGGCTGCTATAGTAAGTTTTTGGAACGAGGGAGGGTGGCTTGATGGGCCACGAGCGGATTTAGGGGCGTGGCAGTATGCATGAGATGATGTGGGCGTGGCTGCATGCTCATGTGGGCGTGGTCGGTAGGTCTCTGGGAAAGACAAAGTTTAGGTGTTCGGACGGGCGAGATTTGACCTCTTTCAGCATCGGAAGTGGGCGTGACTGTATTCTTATAAAGGGGCGAGTGTTATTCCGGGAGAGAGGCAGCCTGCCTTTATTTTTGGACGGCGGGGGACTTGGATACGAGGTGTACTTCGAGGCCGCGAAACCAGACGCTGAGGAGGAAGAGAACACTGAAGATAAAGCGGGAAATTGCCTCAGATATTCGAGTAAGTACAGCACTTTTGTGATGTTAAATGTGTTCGTGTGAAGCAACGCCTTGAAATTTCAATTGAGGTGCAACAAACTCACAGCAAAAAGAAACCTCCATACATACTAAAGAAAAGCGGAACTCGAGATAATTGTACACGTCCGACAGTCAGGCTCCACACTCCCTCTTCCCCCCTCTCCCTATACCTCACCCGAACCTCCGCCGAACGCTATCCGTCCTTTCTTCCCCTTCCACCCCCAACCCCTTGCACTCGTCCCACTCCCCTCCCGTGAATGCACCTCACTCCATTTCTCCCGCCCTGCTGTTGCTGCCTCGCCTCCCTCCTCTCCACACTCACTCACTCTTCTGTCTCCCAGTGCTCTAATTCCGTTATCCCTATACCCTAACACCCACCCCATACCGCCCAACGAGGCAGATATGTAGGTCAGGATGCGAACGCTCAGAGAGCGAGCGACGTGAGGGAGGGGAGGGAGAATTGAGGGTGAGAAAGGGACAGGGAGAGAGTGACTCGGTGAGCGTGTCTGAACAATTTTGGTTGAGGGGAATCCCACTCCTGTGATGGAAAAGGAACTCCAATCAACATATAAGGGGGTGTGGTGCGAAGAAGGCTAGGATTATGAGGGAGTAATGGAATTAGAAACAAATAAATGATGGGGTTGGGTTAATTACGTGCTAATTAGTTCGAATTATGTGAATGAGTACAATATAACAAGGAAGTGGAGGGGAAAGCCTGATGTAAAGTTTAGTCAGTGTGAATTTTACTCGTCTGGTGCATGAGAGAAGAGAGAAGACGAAAAAATATTGCTGTGAGTTATAGAGTGAAGAAGGGAAAGGAAGTAAAAGCTGTTGAGAGAAGAAAGGAGAAGGGAAGTGAAGGGGAGGGGGAGAGTGAGAGGAAGAAGAATTCATAGGGTGAGATGTGAGTGACAGGATATGGTAAAGTAAAGATGTGGGTGGCTAGAGGTGGGGCGGGTAAAGAAGGGTGTTTCCCTCTCGCGTGAATCAGCCAGCCTGCGGTGTTGGACGACAGAGACAGGAGAAGGGAGATTGTTTTCCGTGAGTCCCCCTCCCCCTCTCCCTCCCTCCCTCCTACCTTCCTTCCCTCTTTCCCTCTTTTCTTGCTCTCTCTTCCCTCTTTCTACTTTCCCCTCTTCCAGTCGCCTCTTTCTTGTCTCTTTTTTCTCTCCATTCTTCTCTTTTCCTCTTTCCTCTCCTCTCCCCTTCCCTCTCTCCTGTCACCTTAGTAAAGCTTTTTATGGTTCGATCTTGACCGGTTTTCATTCCCCCCAAGAGTTCACCTTTGGTGCTTGCTCATCCCGGTCGCCGGTCTCCGCCGAACCGGTCCTGCCTCCGCCATCGCTGTCCCCGAAGCCCACCGGAGCAATATGTGCATTGTACCAATGTATGGACAATGTTCATAGACTTCGTATCAATGGCGGCTTTGTCATGTCCCTTTGGCTATGAAATACTGTCCTTTTCTCTATGGGCTATTATACCCGCTTCCCCCATCCCTCTCCCATCCCCCTGCATGGGCCAGAGCGCCAGCAGCACCGAGTGGGGTAAAACTATATGCGAATGGTCTTAAATAGCAGGATATCGCTTCGATGAAGTTAATGAAGTGTTGAACTCAGGTTATCATCTGCTATGGTTTCGCCTTCGTTACGCAGCTGCGTTGATTTGATGCCGTTCGATCCCTTCACGTTGTGTTATACACTCGAGTCACAGAGATCGATCCGCTTGCTGATGGTACACAAACACAAGTGCACGCGCGGAGGCTTACTTGTATGATAATGTCTTTATGTAAAGTTCGTTCAAAGCAGTTAGACGTGTTTCCCATTAAGGCTGTCACCCTACTTTCGTTTATCCCGGTGTCTTGCTATCGAGATCGACACGATTCAGTGATCAAGTTTGGTCATGTGACACTCGCTTCGAATCAGGTCGTCGACGGGGATTGGTCGCTGAGGCTGCTTAGAGGCGATCATGATTTACATCTCTCTCTCTGGACGCACTCACAAAGGGAAGCGAATGGAAAGAGCTTGTTACATGGAAGGGACTAGGGCGGGTGGAGTAACGGGAAGGTAAGGCTTGCTAAGCATGGAGGCACAGCGCGGGTCACACCAGTCCTTCCCACTTCCGCATTGGACCCCCTGGCGTTTTCCGTACTCGTCTTCCCTCTGATGGCATATGCTCTCTATCCTGACTTTGCCCCGTAACGCAGAGTTGCTTACTACCCTTCTGCTGAGTTTATTCACAATTGTACATTTTTGTGTTGTGTTTAGAGCGTGGATATCTTTAGGTTAGATGATTTCTTAATCCGTCCCCAGAACTTGACATCTGTAAAAGTAGATGGCTGGCGAAATTAATTCTTAGCAGGATGTTTCACAAGTCAGACACTAGAGAGGCTGACTAACCCTGCTAACCTTCCTTTTCTGAAATTCATCAGTAACTGCGTTTCTCGCCTGACATATTTACGATTCGCCCAGCACGACCTGGGCTAACAGTCTTACTTTGTAAAATGTTACTATTATTTACTATTGGCATTTGCAGGACCTTGCTGTCATGGGTTGTATATTAAACAATCATGACAGAAATACAGTGCTCTTACTAGATGAGTAGTTGAGCGAGTGACAGATTTATTAGGGAATATACAGGGGAAGTCTGATGCGAATCCTTTGGCTGAAACCAGCGAGGATTGGTGGTGAGCAGGAGGTACTCAGAGGGCAGCGGCAAGTTGTTTGTTTGCGTTTGAAAAAAAGTTTGGAAAGCGCTTCGCTCTTTCTCTTGAGATGACTCTCACCCAATCTTCGGCCTCGAACGGTGCTGGTAAACGGCGATGGTACATTGAGAAGATAAAAAAAAATTCTGTTTTATTGTTGTGGGTTTAGTTTTTAGAAGTTATTTCACAATGTAATTTGCATTAATTACATATCTACCCAGGAAGAATGTATGGTAATAAGAGGACCTGGTTACCTGAGTCATAAGCAATCCTTCGACCACACTTTTCACTTCCTGTGTAAACCCCCTCGCCTCCACCCGTCTCTTGGCCCAGGGCTAAGCCTCCGTCTTCGCTGATATAGCATTTTCATTTGGGGTCAACGTCTGATTCCCTCACGTCCTTCTTAGTTATTTTTAGGCTTTCTAAAAGTCCTGGATATCTCCGCCTCCACGATACGTTCTGTTTCCACCTGGCCATTCTTAGGATTTTCACGGAGGTTCGGATGTCCGGGTGTAAATTGCCGTACACACCCTTCCTACGAGACATACTGAGGAAGGCTGGCCGAAAATAGCCCCCTTCCCCTTTATCTGTTCCCTTTTGGAATGCGCGTCGAAGGGTTGAGCGAGCGGATTCCGGAGACTTCTCCACAGGGGGCTGTGGACATTTCCTGTTGTGCCGCTTGGTTTAGCGTATTTTGTTTATTAAGAAACGGGCTCAAGGAATCTCTTTGTTGTTAATAGTTACGTTTCGCCAGAGTCAGTTTCTCTTTATTGCACAAAATTCCCATTTCCGGGAAATAGTTGTAAAACCAATGATTCCTTCATTGATGTATTCAGGTTTCCAAAGGATTTTAGCGTTTTATGGTGCTGGGTTGGATAAACTAGAAGTTAAAGATTTGGCCAAGCAAAGAAGACGGGGAGAAGAATAAGAAAGAAAAAAAGAGGAAGAATGAGTGCGTGAGTGAGTGAGTGAGTGAGTTCGTACCAACCATAATCCATCACATTTTACCTTCATCCTCTTCACGCCGTGAATACGATACCCGCCCTGAAGCATCGTGGCGAATGGGAGTTTAATCTTCATTCGATCTCCTTCTCTCTCTCTCTCTCTCTCTCCCTCCCTCCCTCCCTCCCTCTCTCCCTCCCTCCCTCC